GAGCCCGATGCGGGACTCGATCCCGGGACTCCAGGATCATGACCTGAGCCGAAGGCAGTCGCTTAACCAACTGAGCCACCCAGGCGCCCTGAAACTAAAGATTTTTATTAAGGTTTTATTTCTCAAAGTCTTCAAGGGGTTTTATATCTTTCCCTTATTGTACTGGTGTAATATGGAACACTGATCCAGTTTAGGAGCTTTTCCATGGAAGTGCGCAATAAGCACATACCATTTATTTATATCAGCTTGACATTTTTGTGACTCTCTTGCTCTCTTCAAGCCTGTTTCCCTAAATGTAAACACAGAACTGTAGCCTTTAAGCAGATAATTACCATAATTTTTATGCCTAAAATGCCAGTGTTAACTAGGGACAAAGAATGGCATCCTAATGCAAACCTTTTGAAGTGGGGGCAACAATTCCAGTGATCACTGCAGGAATGTTTTTGTGAAAGAGCTCTGTGAGTAAAGAGGGAGTTCAGCACATTTGAATGGCAGGTAGGTAAGGAGTAGGTAAGGACGGAGTAGGTGAGTGCTTGTGGCCTTTCCTGTATACCCAGAGATAAACTTCATTTCTCTCAGGCCATAGATAAAACCTCTCCTTGCCTTCTGTCACCTTCTAGCACTATCTCCCTCTTCTATCCTAAATTAGCTAGTTAATATCTATATTCACAGGAACTTTTAGTTTTTAAATATATTTTTAGTTTTTATATATATTTATATATAAGTGATAACTAATCATAAAAGAATGAAATTCAAAAGTAACTCTGCTAGTATAAATATGTGGTATTCATGGTATTCAGGGTTATCCTGGTGCTATTTTGAGTTTGAGATTGTGCAATATTGGCAGAAAGTTCACGTCAGTTTGTGTCAGTGTAATGACAGAATATTTTATTTTTTAAAATATTTATTTATTTATTTCAGAGACAGAGACAGAGATAGTGAGAGAGAGGGCAGGAGCAGGGAGAAGAGGGAGAAGCAGACTCCCTGCTGAGCAAGGAGCCCGATGTGGGGCTCGATCCCAGGACCCTGAGATCATGACCTGAGCTGAAGGCAGACACTTAACTGACTGAGCCACCCAGGCGCCCTTAATTACAGAATATTTTAAAAGAGGGTGTGTTTTGGGCACTTGGGTGGCTCTGTCGGTTGAGTGGCTGCCTTCAGCTCAGGTCATGAACCCGGAGTCCTGGGATCAAGTCCCGCCTCAGACTCTCTTCTCCCTGCTCCTGCCTTCTCTCTCGCTATCTCTGTCTCTGTCTCTGAAATAAATAAATAAATAATATTTTTAAAAAATAAAATAAAATATTCTGTAATTATATTGACACAAGCTGACGTGAACTTTCTGCCAATATTGCACAATCTCAAACTCAAAATAGAGAAGGGGTGTGATTTTGTTTAGGTGATCACATGGCTTCTTTGGGGAGGTAACCTTGAAGTAGATCCCTAAAGGAAGAAATAGAGGAGTGAGCCACCAGGATGAGAATTCATTGATTTAACAACATTTATTTAGTGCCTTGTTTATTGAACACTTTATATATGATGTTAGACCCTGTCTGGGAGTTGAGGATACAATTTTGGGTGGGGAGAGAGCAATCCAACAAAACTCCCTACTCGTGTGCAACTTGTTTGCTAGTAGAGAGGGAATATTTTGGAGAAAAGTGTCTCAGGTGGAGTGAACAGGGAATGCAAAGGCCCTGAGGTGGGACCATGCTTGACGCACAGAGATGAGTATAACTAGAATGAAGCAAGTAGGAGGGTTGGTGATAGATAAAACCAAAGAGATAGCCAGAGCCTAGATCATGTAAGGCCTTTGGATTTTACTCTAAGGAAGACAGGAAGCTGTTGGAAGAGATTTAGCAGAAGAGTTGACATGATCTGCCTTAAATAGGTAAAAGAGAATTATTTTCGCCATAGTGTATCACAGTTGAGAGAGATAAGGTGGCTTGTACCAGTGTTAATGGAAGAAGTAGTGAGACATGGTCAGATTCTGGATGTGTTTTGAAGGTAGACCCATCCAGATTTGTTGATGGATTATAAGTGAGGTAGGACCCAGAGAGGAGTCAATGATGATACCTAACTTCTGGAGAGTGGAGATGGATAAGACTTTTAGGAGGGACACATTTGAGTTCAGTTTTCAGATATGTTAAATGTACTAAAGGTAAGAGAGAGGTCAGGGCTAGCATGTAAATTTTGAGTTCTTGGCATGTGGATGATATTTAAAATGGGAGATGAAATCATCTAGGGAGTAGAATTTGAGTGAGAGAAGTCTGAGGAGTGAACTCTAGGACACTCCAGTGTTTAAAGGTCAGGGAGAAGAAGACAGACTAGCAAAGGAATCTGAGAAGTGGCCAGTAGCATAGGAGAAAAACCAGGAGGGTATGGTACTCTGGAAACTAAGTGAAGAAAGTTTTTCAGGATTAGCCATGTAGGATGCTACAGTAGTTTAAATAAAATAGGTATTCAGAATTGACTATTGGACTTGGCCATAGGATGCCATTGGGGACCTTGATAACTGTTTCTTTGGAATAGGGCACACAAAAGCCTGATTGGAATGGGCTTGAAAGAGAGTAAGAGGAGAGGAAGTAAAGACTCTCTTACCATCTTCATCAGTTAAACCATTTGAGGGCCTGCTCATGCCAGGAGGCATGCCAAGGTCTTGAGATACAAAGATGATGAAATTGGTCCCAGTGCTCCCAAGAACTCACAGTGAGGTAGAGGGGTCAGGAAACCACAACTGACAAAGTGCACTTGATCCCATGTATAGACATACGTATATGTGTAGGTAACATTAACACAAGTAAGATACTGGGCGCCTGCGTGGCTCAGTTGGTTAAGCGTCTACCTTTGGCTCAGGTTATGATCCCAGGGTCCTAGGATCAAGACCCGCATCAGACTTTCTGCTCAGTGGGGAGCCTGCTTCTCCCTCTCCCTCTGCCTGCCACTCCCCCTCCTTGTGCTCTCTCTCTCTCTCTGTCAAATAAATAAATAAAATCTTAAAAAAAAAAAAAACAGAATTAAGATACTAATTTTTCTTGGGAGGCTGAGATAGTTACAGAAAGGAGGTAAATATGACCTCAGACTTAAAAGATGAGAAGGACAGAGCTAGGCAGACAAGGAGCAGAGAGCTGGTAAGAGAAGTGTGTCAGGAAGACAGGTATAGGAGGTAGTCCAGTGCAGCTAGATCCTAGGGGCATAGAAGATTACTGGGAAATGAAGCTGGCAAGGTAGCTGGTATCGCTGTAAAGGAGTAATATCATAATGACAAGTTTAGGCTTTTGTCTGTAAGGAGTGGATAGTTAATTGAGACTTTTAAACCGGGAGTGGTGTGATCACGTCTCCATTTTAGAAAGATCACTTGGGTATTCTAGAAAAATCAGCCAGTGAACTGTGTGCAAGGTGAAGTAGAAATAGGAGAAGCCAGAGGGAGAGGTCTCTATTTGGGGACTGTAAGTTCAGGTAGAAATGCTGTGGGGCCTTGGTCCCGATGAAGCAGTGACAGGGGAAGAAACGAAGGAGAGGTGTGTGCTTAGACATGATGGAGGGGGGAGGGTGGGAAAGACACGAATGATTCCAGTGTTCCTCACTTGGACAGTCTGGTAGATGGTAATTACATAACCACCGGCATTAAATGAAATAGCACAGGCAGCCATACCAAACAGGATGTAATTTTGTGACTATGTGTGTGTGTGCAGGAGAGGGGTGATTATTTTCCTTTCTAGTAGGAGAAAATAAATAATGGAGCAGCAACATTGATTAACTTGCATAGTTTCCTTATCCTGATCCTCCCTTAGAGAAAGCACAGTTGTTCCCAAAATAACTTTTAAATGCTAATTGAGTAATTAGAGATTGAAGAGAAACCATATCTTTTATAGAAGATAGGATATAAAAAAGAACTAAAGAAGAATAAAACCATTTTCTAACTTGGAAGATTTTATAATGTTTTAGTTCCATTTTGCTAAATTTATAAACCTGTTATGCTCCCAGAGTCCTGTGCATTTGATGTCTCTTTCATTCATAAGGCAAGTGTTGGAGATTTGTGACTATATAATTGATTTAAGAAGTAATCTAGATTTACATTTTGTACACTTTTAGACTTGTTTGTATCCAGTTTTTGTGCCATAATTTTCTTGGAGGATCTTAAAGCTCAGTACACCCTGCTTTTCAGGCATCCCTTTCTTTTATTCCCATTAACCATCTTCCTTCTCATCAGTAACATGACCCCAGACGTCTACCAACACAGTTAGCTCAGTTTCAGTTTATAAGTGCTTTTTAGTCCTCTTCTTGAGATATACCAGAGTTACCTTGATTAAAGTGTGGATGTGAAATGGTTAACCACACCATAATTTTGGAATGTGCCAGTTCAGTCCTCCAGAGGCCATCTCTCTTTTCTCATTTCCAGGTTTTCGAAGGGCATCTTACTATTGTCTCTATGAAACATCTGCCAATTCATAAAGATTGCTTGTGTTGGCCGATTTTAGGTCATGCGCAGATAATAGCATATGGAGTTGGATCATTTTCACTTTATAAAAAGGAAATTTCCAGTAGTTAGAAAATATAAAAGAAGGAAAAAAAAGAACAGAAACTAAATGTAATTATTTGTATGCCTACAAGTATTTTAATTACAGGTCCAGTTTTGTAAAACCACATGGTTTATTGCTATTAGATTTGATTTCAGGCTGTGTGTGTACATGCGTTGTATTTTCAGGAAGTTTCAGCTGATCCAACTGCCACCCTCACAGCAGCAGAAGAGAGAAAGGAGAAGGTACCAAGTCCACACCTCAGTCACCTAGTGGTTTTGACATCTGGGGATACATTATATGGGCTGGCGGAAAGAGTGGTAGCCACAGAATCCTTGTAAGTTGTTAAAAACCGTTGCTTTGCCTTTAAGTTTTTAAGAAAAGTTATAAAAGTAAGCATTGTATAATTAGATTTCTAGCTGTATCCATCTCCCACTTCTGAGTGTCACTTATATATTTCTGAGAAGTCTATCCTAAAATAGATTACCAGTCGATCTTTAAAACTGCATGGTTGGTTTTCAGTTACATAAATGGAAGAAGGGAAATCTTTTAGGTTTCAGTCTTTAGCAACATGATCCTTGCTTTAAAGTAAAACTTGAGGATCAAGCCCCGCATTGGGCTCCCTGCTTGGCGGGAAGCCCGCTTCTCCCTCTCCCACTCCCCCTGCTTGTGTTCCCTCTCTCTCTGTGTCTCTCTTTGTCAAATAAATAGATAAAATCTTAAAAAAAAAAAAATAAAACTTTAAAAAAACACCACATTATAGCATACTTTATATTTTCCTATCAAATTGTGATTCTAGAGAAACTAGTTACGATGTCCGTTTAGTGTTAAATGTAGTCAGCCCTTGACATCAGCAAGAATGCTTCCTGACCTTTATAAATCCCCCAGTTTTTAATACAGGTAAAGCACATGACTTCTTCCTTTAAATGTAGTCCAGTATCAGTTAAGAGTTTTTGTGTACATTACAAAAAATAGAGAAAAAGAGGGCAGCTGCTGGCAACACTCTGGGCAAATGACCCCCTCCCGCACACCAGCCTCCTGACCTGAAGTTCACGTTTGTGTCTCAGCTAAGCTGCAGTTTGCTGCATGAGGTTACTTAGGAGAAGTGCCAGCCAGATGTTAAGTCTGTGAATTCACCTCTCTGTTCTGTATAATTAAATGGGATCCTTATGGGAAATCCTTTCCAAAAAAAAACTGTTATGTTTTTTCTTCCGTCTTTTCTGTGATCTGTGCTTCTGTGTCACATGCAGAGCAGCATAGCTCTACACCTTGTGGTTTCCAGAGCAGTTGATCTGAAGTCTCCTTCTTCCACCTCTGCTCACATTCCGTGATAAGCTCAGCAATAACTTTTGGGTAGGTTGTAAATGAGCTGATACAAGGTGGTTCACTCAAGTGGAAAAGAATTTTAATGGTCGAACTTTTGCTTAGAGATCTTAAAGATGACTTATACAGAGAAGTATTGACCGGCCTGTGGATCCTGCACTCTGCTTACGCCGTGGCTTCTTTATTCCCTTTAGGGTATTCTTGGCTGAACAGTTTGAGTTCCTTCAGCCCCATCTGGATGCCGTGATGCCCGCAGTCAAAAAGCCCTTTCTTCAGCAGTTTTATTCTCAGGTCAGAGACACTCTTGGATGTCATTTCAACTGTGAGCACATTATTTGGGTTTTTTGGCTAGTGGCCAGTCTCCAAATTCCAGGAGAGCAATTAGCAGACGTTTATTCACTCATGAATTCCTGTATGAAGTACTGAGCACCTCCTATAACTTTTAGTCTAATGCCCATTACAACTGTGTTTACAATCAAGTATGATAAGGGGGAAGAAATGGCAGCAGGGAATTTAACCTTGGCTGGAGGAGGAAAGGGGCATGTGTCATCGGGAGAAGGTTGTCTAGAAAGGCTGTCTGGAGGAAGGATGTTTAAGCCGGGGCAGCCGGCTACGTCGGGAGTATATTGCAAACTAAGGGAATGGCTTACATGAAGACCAGCTGGTGAGAGAGCGCAGGGTGCCTGTCAGCGGCCGAGGAAAAGTCAAACTGTCAGAGCAGGGAAGGGGGCTAGTGGTGAGAGGGATGCCTGGAGGAAGAAGCAGGAGCTGCATGGTACGCAGTGCTCTCAGGCAGGAGGCGGACTCTGTTTCGAGGGTACAGGCAAGGTACCAGAGGATTTGAGACCGGTGAGTGGCATGGTCAGTGTGTAGTTGGCAGCAGTAGATGACAGGCCTGCAGGCAGGGAGACCGGCTTGTAGGCTGTTACAGGTTTACATTTGAGAGATGACGAAATCTTGAGGCGGGGCAGTTGGAGTGGAAATGGAGAGACGTGAAAAACCGTGAGAAATATTTGCTCATCTCCATGAAGATCTGTGGTTCTTTTATTGTTGTGTTACCAGTGGCCTCACGTTGATGGGATGTCTCCAAAGTATGTTTTGAGTAAGTCGTTTGCCAACGAACTGAAGTGTTTTCATAATTTAAATCTCCAGATATATATGTTTTATTTTTAGATGTGATGTATACTAGAAATAGGCACAGAAGATTTTTTATAAACTTGATACTTTTAGAAAATATTTGTTTTCCTTTTTGTGAAATGTATTTCAGACAGTCTCAACTGCCAGTGAACTACGCAAACCAATTTATTGGATTGTAGCCGGTAAAGCTATTGATTATGAACAGATGCTTCTCCTAATGGCCAATGTGAAGTGGGACGTAAAAGAAATTATGTCACAGCACAACATCTATGTAGATGCACTGCTAAAGGCAAGTACACAGAAATACCTTTGTTTTTGTTTTTTTTTAAGATTTTATTTATTTATTTGAGAGAGAGAATGAGAGAGAGAGAAAGCATGAGAGGGGGGAGGGTCAGAGGGAGAAGCAGACTCCCTGTCGAGCAGGGAGCCCGATGCGGGACTCGATCC